CCCCATGAATTTTTAATTATTTCAAGGTCCAAACTGTCCCTGAGCTCCAAGGCAACCAAATTTCCAGACCATAAAACAAGCCATGTCATTGTTTCAGCAGCCATCTCTTACAACAGGAGACGGGGGCTCATTGGATATTTGATCACTCATAAAAGTTATAAATTAGAAGATGAAYTTATTATCAATGGATCCCTTTACACATAACAGAGACATTATCTCTCTCTTAAGGTCCAGTTTAGTTCATTTTGAAAGAGACAGAATAAAGAATCAAGAATATTTATACCAACAAAGATTTTGCTGTTAAACGCTCAAAAATTGTCATTGCCTCTTAAGTTTCATTTTCAGTTTGGTAGTAAAGAATGAAGAAGAAACATTTTAAAAGGAAGAAAGCAGGATATGGAAGCTGGTTTTGACCTTGCTTTTTAGTGTACAGTTTTCCTTGTCTGATTTTTTTTCTCCTCCTRTGGTACTGGGGATTGAACTTGGCCTCACGCATGTTAAGCTAGTACTCTACTGGTGAGCCACATCTCCAGCCTGAGTCTAATTAAAAAAAAAAAAAAAAAAAGTTTTTTTACTCTTTTCTCTGTATTTTCTTTTTTAGTTTTTTTTTTTAGATGTTGATGGGCCTTTATTTTATTCATTTATTCATATGTGGTGCTGAGAATTGAACCCAGTGCCTCACACATGCTAGGCAAGCACTGTACTACTGAGCCACAACCCCAGCCCACTTGTATTTTCTTGATTTAATCTTTTTCATTTTTATTYTTTGCTTTTTATTTCAATCTGAAGATTATTTTTCTATCTTGCCATATATATCTGTGTACAATAAACCCTCTTGTGGATCAAGGCAGGGAAACAACAGAGGAGCTGGTGGAATTTCTGCCCTTTCCACCCCCAGTCCTCCTTCCAGTGCAGGTGGAACTCAGGTTACATGAGGGCAGAAGCAGAACTTGTACTTTACCTTCAGGATAACTCTAGGATTCCAAACTTCCCAAAATTCAGACGGGGAAAGAATTTTTTAAAAGGATAAACACTTTTAACCAATCTTTAACCTGGAGACTAGCTCTTTGCCAAAATACCTCACCTTGTTGAGCCAATAAATTGAGAGCAGGAGAGAGGGAATACGACTGACAAGGGGTTAAGGGGCAGGGCTTTCATGTTTTACAAGCAGGAGGAGGAGGAGGAGGATACCAATATAGTTAGTCAGCATGCATTAATTCTCATTAATGTCTTCCGCTCAACTCCATTCTTCTCTGCACAGCTGTGCAAATATAAATTAATTGGGCCATTTTGACCAAGGCATCCAAGAAAAAAAAATTAATGTGAGGCCAAAGAATTAATTGGACAAATAACACATTTTTTCGACACGTGGGAAGGATTTTTCAAGCTACCACATCATAGATTGAGAGACATGCAGGCATTCCTTGGTAATCATGGAGAATTGGTTCCAAGACAGGATTCCTAAGAATGCCAAAATCTGCAGATATTCAAGTTCCTCATATAAAATGATATAGTATTTTTATATAACCTATCCCTATCCTTCTGTATACTTCAGATCATCTCCGGATTACTTCTAATAACTAAGATGTTTCAGTTCTATGCAAATAGTTATCACACTATATTATGATAACGACAAGGGAAAAGTCTGTACATGTTCAGAACAGACACAATATTTTTCAGATACTTTCAATCTGTATTTGACAGAACATATAGATGCAGAACCTGCCGACACAGAGGGGTAACTGTTCGTTCAAATTCATCCTTTGTAAACATCCCCGAGTAAGATGCCACCAAAGAGCAGAATGAGTTGGGAATGAGACCACCACGAAGCAGGTAGTGAATGGCCCGAGAGAACAGTAGCACTCTCTCTTTGTGGCACTGTGCAGAAAGTAATATTTAACACCCACAATAATACCATTATCTCAGATGGAAGGGCAGTCCCTCTGACAGTTTACATATGTAAATAGGAACAAAGAGGTTAAGCAACCTGCCCGTCAGTGATAGAGTCAGTCACAATTTGTTTTCAGTGTTTAAAAAAAAAATGGCATTAAACCTATACAAAATAGTGCAGTTCATTTTGACATATTCATAAATGTATATAACATAGTTTCTCCCTTTAAATCCCCAGTACTACCCTTATTCTCCCTGTCCTCCCTTCCCCAATCCCCTTCCTCTACTCTATTGTCTTCCTTCTATTTATTTCTTTATTTGATGCACAATATACATTCAGGTTGACTAGCTCTAGAGATTGTTTCTAACCCTGTCTTTTTCTAGGTACTTGGCATTATGCTTGCATTACAGAGAGTAAAAAAGGTAGGGCTCGGTTCTTGCCCTTAGCAATTTACAATCTGACTGGTGAACCAGGAAGGACATGCATAAAATAATGAAAAACAGAACAGGAGCACATCATCAAGTATACATCTTTTAGGTGAAGGAGGCAATTCATGAAAGTTGGGGGCACATGGTATGTATAGCTCATCTGGGCAACACTTGAGAAGGATTTCCACCACATTSTCAACTAAATAACAACATGTAGAGAAGACCATACTTGAGACAAAAATGATGGATCCCTGACACGCCACGGTGTGCGTGCTCAGGAAAAACTCTCCATTTCAAAAATCTCCCTTAAGAGGATAGACGGATGGCCAACCCATCCCCAGCTGCATCTTAAGGATTAATAAAAATGTCTATAGTCCCCCTGAGCTTGATCTCAGATGGGAGGGCAGTTCCTGCAGTCCCTCTAAAAGAGGTGTGGCAACTTCTCTCAGCCTCCAAAGACTAAGGAAGGAGGAGAGAATTTGCATCACCTCCTCCTCAGTTCAATTCATTGAAAGTTAACCAGCCCAGYGCCTGTGACTGAGGAAAAGGGCAGATTTGAGAGAGGGACCATAAAGGACTCAGAAGAAGCAATCACAGGGTTGCAGAAAGGAGAAAGCCAGAAGAAAGCACTGGCATGCAATGAATGATCCTGAAATTTAACCAGACTCACAAGCTTCCTTGAGAAATTAGGACAAAGTTTCTGAAGGGACCTGTTTCCATTCCCTTTATCATGTTGCCATTTCTTGTGTGCTCTTAACGTTCAAGTGTACCTGTCTACAGAAACCGGCACTTTTAAGCAGGTCATTGTGATGCTTTCAGTGGCAATCTCACAGTTGGAGGTGCTGGGCAACTTGTAGTACAAAACAGTGCAGGGAGGCCCCTCCCAAGCTTCACACCTGTGACTCATGTGGGGAAGAGCCACAGAAGGAAATCCACAGACACTGGCTGGGGTGAGTGGTCATCTGTGCAGAGCAGGCCTACTCCCCAGGCAGACTCCCTGYTGTTCCTGAGAGTCCAAGTAGGGTCAGGGTCCTTATTTCAGGGCAAATATTCCTAAAATGTCTCAGTCAAAAAGCAAAGTGCTCAGTTTAAACTCCTAGCCAACAGTTCTCAACTCCACAGAACTCATAGAATCACTAAGGGGACTTTTAAAAATTACCCAAGCTGTATCCAAACCCAGCACTTCCAATTGAAAGAGACTGGGATGGGCCTGGATACTAAGTGTAACATGTAAACGGGGTTAGAATCACCATGTCTAACTCAGCCAAGTCTCAGATAACATAAATATAAATTTATTGCTATTTTCCAATAGCAATAAATTTTGAGAAACTGAATTTTGAGAAACTACCTAAGAACAAAATGCCCGGATGGTAATATAATTCTAATTCTGCCATGCACTAGCTAAATGGCACATGACTTCTCAGAGACTTGGTTTCCTCAGCAATGTAATGGGATTAATCACACCAACATCAGAGGGTAGCTGAGATGACTGCATGACTTTGAGCACATAAATAATTTAGCTCAATGCACATGCTAAATGCTCAGTAGATGTCAGCTACCATAATTGATGATGATGGTGATGATCAAAGTACGAATATACCAGTGTTATTTCAATAAAAGGGATGTTTTTTCTAGACTGGGTATTTAGTCCTCAGGCAAAATTTTAAAGGAACTGTGAAGAACCGGAATACGAAAGTTCTAGAAATTATTATTTCATTTATATACAGAGAACTGGTGAATGAAGCAAGAGTATTTAGCCAGGATAAGAAAAAAGTGAGAAGGTAAATGGTACTGTCTTCAGATGTGACAGACTATGGACAGAAATCAGAGCCTGGAGATTTGGATGAGAATTTTTAAATGAATCTTTATTAATCTCAAATGGAAATTGAGCATTTCCTTCAATTATGAAAACAGGCAACAAATCTAAATATTGACATTTAGGTGACTTGTAGCCCTAGTTAGCTCAGGACTGAGGGGTTTCCCAGGATGGAGCTTATACTACTCAAATTGAGAAAGTCCCAAGCAAACCATTCCCTTCTTACATTCATCACTATTTTAAAATTATGGTAGTTACCATATTTCTAGATATCACTATTTAGTGTGTTAATAAGGAAGCACTTAAATTGTCATATCACAATTTTGAAAAATTTATAATCTGATCAACATAATTACAGGCTTTTTATTTCATTGGATGCATTTAAAAGCAGTGTTCTAAGTCCACAGGTCTCATCAGTTTGTCAAAGGTCTGAGACCACAGCAGAAAAATTTAAGAGGGAAGAGACAGGGACCATTGGTTGGAAAAATACAGAAACCCAGATTTAAATTCCTTTACATCTGGAAACCTAAAAACAACAATGAATTACATGATAGAAGGGGACTCAGACATTTATCTCCAAAGACAGCCMGTGGGTGGAGGCCTTTTTCTACTACCAGGAAGCTCCCTAATTCCTCCACTCCTGTGGATACATGAACTTGTGTTTTGTTGCTTACTTAGAGTGTTACAGAGTTGACTCAGTCTTGATAGCTATCAACTGGAGTATCTATTTTCCAATAGCTACAAATGCTCCCACCAAAAATTGTAATTTGACAGACTTAATATTTTTCATGAATTAAGACAATGGAAATTTGGATTTTGAAAAGATCAAGTTTAAAGAAATGGTCAAATAAACTTGAATTCTTACCGGAGACCACAGGTCTTCTGACAGACATCGGCCCCCACTGTGCCTTATCTCCACTGTGGGCAGAGGTTCCATGACTTTCCCACAAGGCAGTGAGAGGCCATTTCTTTTCTGATCAATGTAATTCCAAGCAACCAGTCCAATGTGGCCAGAAGGCAGGGTTCTCATGATTGCTCTCGTCCCCGTGTACACAGATTTCTTTACTTCCCTGTCATTTTTGCAAAATCTCCTGACTAACAAAGTGGACCGTTCCTTTTTGCTTTTAAAAAAGTCTTCTTCAGTATCTTCACAATTATCAGGGAAATCCTCAAAATGGCTCAAAAAAGTCTTAGTAGGTGCACTTTCAGTGAAATCCCCCCTGCAAATGCTATCACTAGAGCATATCACGTCATCCTTCTGGCCAGAGCCCTCAAAGCAAAGGTATTTATGATTCAAGGTGTCCCAATGATCGCACTGCAGCTGCCCATTCCTGTTATCACAGTTTTTTGCCAAGTTTACCAGTTTACAAGTATATGCTGTGTAATCTTGCTTTTGCTCCCCCGCAGGAAGTGGAATGCAATTTCCACAATCRTCCAAAATTAAGTTTTCTGATAGGGTATGGAAAGCCTCTGACATTCTTCTGTCAACTTCATAATGAAAATTAAATACTGCCATGTTGCTGTCAGGCTGCGCTCCGTGGGTCTCGATGGTCTCAGAGTGACTTCCTGGAGGACTAATGCTCATGGGAGGTGTATCTATTTCCAGTTTAATTCCAGGGAACACCTTTCTTTCCAGTGGAGAAGGAATTCCAGTTTCCAAACACAGGCCTTCCTCCGTGACAGAGTTGCACGTTTCATAATAGTGGCTCTGAGGCAGGCCACGCTGATGGTTTCGCAGAATGTTGTTGCAGCTAATGTTAAGGTTGTTCACAGAATCTGGCATGCTTTTCTCCCAGCACTTTTCGTTGCTGTTCTCATCACTAAGCATTTTCTCCCTTGCTATGGAGAGAACATTAGGCAAGTGGCTTCCAGAAGATTCTTCTTTAAGTTTGCTCTGTTKTGAGATGGTATAAGAGGTCTGCCCAGCTTGCCGGACAGTATGTGCCTTTGGAATACWGATGTCAGAGTTTTCATTATTTTCATCTAGGGCCACCTGGGCAGACACCACTTTTTTCTGAGTCACAGGGATAAGAACRGAAGCTGCCATTTCTTCAGAAGTCATCTTGACCAATGCAGTTTTCAGCTACTGCTGTTGCTCCTCCCTGCTGATCATGTCAAGATTTCTAGAAAACAACTGATTGTTAAAAACGATCTCAGATCTAAACAAGTGCTTCTGAGAAACGTGATGACTCCTTTCAATTAAGTACATTAAAAGCCAAATAAAATTTCCCAGCTCWAATTTCCTATTATGAATATTTTATTCTAGATCAGAGTTTTAACATGGAGATAGATTTTCTTTTCTCTGTTATGTGGAGCAAAAAAAAAATTTAAAAATTTAAAAAATCTGAAGACTTTCATTCAGGATTACATTCTGCAATTTCTGGTCCATCATTAACTTGCAGTGATTTAAAAATTCAGCTTGAATGTTTCCTGTAAGAAAAGAGATAACATCAAACATTGTGGCACTGAGCATGTTTTCAAAACTGAGCTCATCATTCTACATTAATACAAAATATAGTCCAATTTTGATTAAGAAGTTTTGTAATCAAAAGAAAATGTTTAAAAGAAAAAAACTGGGGGGTGGGGTGTTTAAACATTTCAGAACTTCTGCTTCCAGCCAAAATGGAGTAATAAGAACCAAATTTATTATCTCGCCTTTGATAACTAAACAAATTGATGAGGGTGAGGCAAAGAACAATGGTTTTCAGACATTGGACAGGCAAAACAGAACAGTGATCTCTGAAAGAAGAAAAAAAATGATGTAAGCCCTATAAAGGCTCGAATTTATTACTTGGAGAGTGTCCAAGCCATAGGGCAGGAAAAGAAACTCAGGCAGAACCCAACAGTGTATCTGAGAAGAAGAGAAAGAGTTCAGACTTCAGGAAGGTCAAGGAAATGAGTAAAGAGGAACAAAAAATAAGAATGACAGMAGACATGTCATCAGAAACAATGCAACCCAGAGGGAAGTGGAGCAAATCTTTAAAAGTACTGAATTTGAAACAAACAAAAAAAAAAATTGTAAATGGAGAATTCTATACTCAGCAAAAAATGTGTTCTGCAAATGAAAATGAATAAAAACTTTTGCAGACATACAAAGCTGAAAGAATTCATCGCTAGTAGACCTTCACTATAAGAAATGACAAAGACAGGAACTGGGGTTGTGGCTCACTGGTAGAGCGCTTGCCTGGCATGTGTGGGACACTGGGTTCAATTCTCAGCGCCATATTAAAAAAATAAATAAAAAGATGAAGGYAATTGTGTCCATCTACAACCCCCAAAACATATATATATGTATGTATGTATGTATATGTATATGTATGTGTATATATATATATATGGTCAAAGACAGTCCTTTAGGCAGAAGGAAAATGCCAGATAGAAATCTGCCTACACGTAAAGTAATAAAGAGTCTAAAATGCTAAGCATGTGGGTAAATACATTTTTTTCTCATTTTTTAAACAAGATAATTGTGATAGTAACAAGATTATTGACCATTTAAAACAATGCATTGTGGAGTTTATAACAAATATAGAAGTAAAATATATAACAAAACACACAAAGGTCAAGAGTGGGGAAATGGGGCTAGACTGTGACAATGTTATTCTCTACGTGAATCATTATACTRTTAATTAAAGTTAGGCTGTGATAAGTTTGAAGACACATATTCTAAATTGTAAAGCAACCACTTTTTAAAAAGACACAGGTAATGAGAAAAAAATTAGTATCATAAGAAATTTCTATTCATTTTAAAGGTCAGAAAAAGAAGGAAAAGTGAACAAAGAACAGATGAGATGAGACAAATGGGAAACTAAAGGTAGATTTACATATTTCAAAAAGCAACTTTAGGCAGTATTTCCAGCCCCTTCCTCAAATATAAACATTTAAACTCCTGTTTCTTTTGAATAAGAAACTATTCACCTGAATATCAAAAAACAATTCACCTGAATATCAACAGACATTTTAAAAACCTTTGATTTTGAAACGTATTATTCAAAAACTAGTTTATCCCATCTTTATTTTTCCAATACATCACTGGACCCCTTCTCCATGCTGGGTCCTGTGCTATGGGCTGGAGAGCTAGTACCTGCTAGCAACTCTACTAATAGAGGGAAAATGAAACAATTTCCATTCATCTGAGGAGGTGCAATTATAAAGGACATACAAGGCACTCTGGAACCAGAAGGTGCCCATCACAAGTAGGTACAGCTCTCTCCCAAGGCATCATCAGTCAGACTCTGTGGTCAGTGCCAGCTTGCTTTGCCTTTGCTCTTCACCACACAGATGTCCTTCTTCTCCTTGTTTTCCCATATTCCCTTTTCCCAAAAAGTTATCAACTTCCCCTTATTTTATTACTCACATGTCCCCTCACACAGTCTCTCGCCTGCTCTCAGCATATATCAGTCTTCACATCTACCCTAAAGGAGCTGACCACACCCTAGCAATCACCTTCTTCACAGGGTAAAATATAGCCACACAGAGCAGCACATCCTAGCTCAACACCCCAGCCCTTCCCACCTTTTGCATCTTACTTCCAACTTGGTTTCTTTTTGCTTTTCTTTGGAAAATGCCTCTTTTTTAAATTTTGTAGGTATATGCTAAGTGTAAAAAAAAAAATTTCAAACAATGTAGAAAATGACACAGGGAAATGTTTTAAAAACACTAATCCCACCATTGAGAGATAACCATTGTTAATATTCCAAGGGCCCTCCTTACAGAACACTCCCGTGCATCAATGTGCAAAGATGTAGGTATAAAACTGCACAAATACCAGTTTGTGTTGTACATGTTGTTCTGTAGGTGCTTTTTAAAATTTCAAGTGCATCGTAAACAATTTTGCATGTCAAGAATGGTACAGATTGGCTGGGGATATAGCTCAGTTGGTAGAGTGCTTGCCTCGCATGCTTGGGTGCACAAGGCCCTGGGTTCAATCCCCAGCACATCAAAAAAAAAAAAAAAAAAAAAAGAATGGTACAGATAACTTGAAGGACTTATCATGCTAACTTGGGTTTAATATCTTTGCTGTATTTTTTAAAGGACACCTTTTCAGACCCAAACCTTCACATTGACAGTAGATCTGTCCTTTCTCACCCAAGAGGTAAGCAATTCAAGGTATGAGAGGCTTAAAATACATGATTATTATCTCATGTAAGTCTCACTCAATCCTATAAGATAGTGTGACAGTCTTTAAATATGTTCATAAATTCTTTGATACTTTTATTTTCAAAAGGTGGAGGCCAATTCCCTTTCCTTTGAATGTGGGTTGTGCCTCCTAACTTCCTTCTAACATAACAGAATGTGGTGGAAGTGATGAGTGTAGGTTCGAGACTGACATCATAAAARACATTGGGATTTCCTCCTTGCTCTTTCTCTCCTTCTCCCACTTGTTCTCAGGACAAATGACTGCCAAGGACTGAGGACTCCCTCCAACAGCCATCTGAGTGTGCCATCTTGGAAGTGGCTTCCCCAGGCTCAGCCATGGCTTCAGATGATTGTAGGCACCACCTACGTCTTGACTGTAATCTCATGAGAGACATTTAGCCACACAAGCCATTCTCAAATTCTTGAGCCCAGAAACTGTGAGATAATAAATGTATATTGTTTTAAGCCATAAATTTGGGGTAATTTGTTACATAGCAATAGATAGCAAATACAGATAAAGTTCTGTTATCCACATTGGAAGATTATAAATGAAAGCATAGGTAAGTTAAGTCAATTGCCAAAAATTATCCTGGATCTTTGGCTGGAAAATATTGGAGACAGAACTCAAACCCAAGATGCTTGACTCCAGAAGTTCTTTTGTTCATCATGGACCAAACTGCTTTCTCTTCTATTTAGCCTGAAACCCCATGGGTTTGGTTCTGATGTATGTAAAGGCTCAAGGTCATGGGGAAGTGTCTATGAAGCCTCACAGATGTCATCACAAGAGAYAACCAAGGTTCAGCAGCTCTGTTATATCAGTAACATGATGCTGAATTTACCATTACCAGTGCACACACTCCTTTCCCCACATCGAAATTTTATTTGTGTTTGTCTCTGGAAGGCTGAGGATTATACCCAGTCTGCTGAAGCAATGATCTTTGTTTCACCTCCAGCTGTATTCAGGAATGAGCAACATCACAGAGAGCTGATTCCCTGGAGCACTAGACTTGGCTCCGTCTCAGCCCATTCCTTTATTCAACAAATATTTGCTGAGTACAAAGTCAAATAAGTCACAAATCTGACCTTTGTTTTCCTTACAACCTAATAAATCACCAGACAATGTACAGTACAAACAGGGTTATGATCTGCATTAACACAGAGGAAGAGCACCCATCAGAGGAGATAAGGTGGGAATGGTTTCTAGAGTGGATTTCCTGGAGAAGTTGATGATTGAGATGAGTTTTTAAAGATAAGTCAGAGTTAGCAAGATGAAGACAGGGGGCATACTTTCCATGGAAAAGCAATGTGAACTATCAAACATCCAGACATAGGGTCTGGCACCTCTGGAAAATCTTTTAACCACTTTTGGGTTTGATTTCCTCTCCCATAAAATAGAAATGAAATCATCTATTCCATAAGGTTGTGAAAGAAATACTTTGAGAACTACCAATTCAGGGGAAATGTTTGTTATTCTATGCCTTGTAAATGTCTTCATGAGAGACAACAACCAAGGTTCAGCAGCTCTGCTGTGTCAGTGATGTGGTGTTGAATTTATTGTTGCCAGATACACATCCTTCTCTCCCCAAGTCTACTCAAATTTTATATATATATATGTATGACATACACATATATATATGTATATATATTCATATATCATATATATATATTAATGACTAGGGAAATGAAAGACCATAAAGTAGAGCTAGAGCTATGAACATTCAGGAGATGCTAGAAATCCTAGACAAAGCAGTAAGGTAAGAAAAAGAAATAAAAGGCATAAGAAAAATTAAGAGTAACATACAGGAAGCTTTCAACTTCAGGAGAAATACCACACGAGGATAATGCTGTTGATGGATTCTCATGAGCTAAATCAAGGGCTGGCAAACTATAGCCTAAGCCCAAAGCTGGCTTGCCACTTCAATTTTTGTATATAAAAATTTATTGGAACACAGCCACATCTATTCATTAATGTCATATTTCTGGCTGGTTTTGCATGATAACGATAGAGTTGAGAAGTTGTGACAGAGATCATGTGGTCCACAAAGCCAAAGATATTTATCACTTAGTCCTTTACAGAAGGGCTACTCCCTCTTAGGCAGCCCTTGTGCCAGATAAATAATGAGATAACAAAATGCCTGTTTAAAACAAGGAAAAGAAGTGGGAGGCTTGATAGCAGCCTTCATCTATTCGAAAAATCCAGATGAGGGAATGGGCTTACTTCATGGTTTTTTTTTTCCCAAAAGGTAAGATAAGGGCCAAGACACATGAATTATTAGGGAGGAAGCTTAGGC